CTGATGTAAAAATGCTCTCGCTTTCGCATAGTAATTAATTAATTAAAAATTGATTACTAAATGTCTTCGTAAGTAGACGAGAAAAAAAACAGACTTTACCATTCAAACTACATCTGTAATAACATTTTCGTCCAGACCAAATGCATCGTATTCGAACATGCACCCAAAATTTGAGTTTTTCCTATGGATATCACTGAAAACCTTCTCTTGATAAACTGTGATCTCATCTGCTTACTCTAACCTTTTACAGATGAAAAAACTTGGTGTTTCATGATTCAGGAAATAAAGATATTTCTCTTCATTTAGGTAAAATCGCCAAAAAAAAGTAAGGTGCATATATGATAGTATTTGTTTTCTAGAGCGTCAGGGACGTTTATGAAACCACCTGGAATAGGAGACACTAGCTAAAAATAATACTATTGAGCTTTTATCACCCACTCAAGCCAGATATATACGAACTTATCAAAATCAAAATTTCATCTTCTAACATATTCTTCGAAAGGATACTAGACGCCTATTTTTAACATCCTTATATTTTTCAGAGAATAATAAACGATAAAAATGAGAATTAAAAATTGCACTGGTTTGTGAAATGATAGATTATTCTTAGTATCAATGAAATATACTGAATGATGAGTCATCATTAACAAGTCAAAACAGATATTTAAAACAATGAACGTAAGACTTCTATTGAGGCTGTATAGCGCAATCATGACAAAAATTTATGCAACTCATAACTTTTAAGATCCTCTTTTCTAAAGCTGCTGTTAATAAAACTAGCAACTTTTCAAATTAAAAGATTCAAGAAATATAACTTTTAATTCCCGAAAAAACAGTAAAAAGTTTTAGAAAAAGACTTTTTCCTTTGACGATACAAGTAACTACCAATGCATGTTGTTCGGAGAGCATCCAGACAAAAACAAAAGAAAACCGAGAAATTCTGAAAGAATATGCATAAATGTAAATCTTCATTTCAGTGTAGTAACAAGTGAATTTTAGATAGAAAAGTACAGATAGTTGATTCGAGAAAAAAGGTTTTTGGAAAGAATTTATTGTTTTTTGTATAATTAAACTCATTTTATGTGATAGGATAGAAGATTCTTATCTCATTCATACATTGAAAATCCATTATAAGTCGTTATCCTGCATCATATAAAGCAAGTTTTCGACTAGGAATTGTTCCCATATAAAACAATATGACATCAAGAGTTCAATCTTATTCGACTAAATTATATATAAAAACCATTTCGAACACATGTTTATGATCACTGGTTCAATTTGTGTTCTGCGAGTAAAAACAGATTCTTTTTTTTCAAAAATTCTTTCAATAGCATTCCATACGGTATCCAAACTTGATTCCTGAAAGATAAAGACCTTAATCAACAGTTGAGTTTCAAAGGTTACAATATTTATTATTTGTCTAAAGAATTCACAGACTTCCATTTAGTGTTTATCAATCTTAAGATGAAGCGCTTTTTTGTGTAGAGACAAAGACTAAAAGTAACAGATACACCACCATAGGAAACAAATCTTGAGTCATTTTCTCGACAAATAGCTGTTTTAGCTCCTTTCAGCCTATTTCTTGAAAAAATAGTGTGAAGAAATAATGACAGATTTGTAGTCAATGTAAAAATTCAAATCAAGAAAAATAGAATTGTGTTCGATGAAAAATTTGGTAAGCTCACGGTAAATCATCAGAAAATAAAATACTGAAAATTTCAGTTCAAAAGAATGCTTCCTTCCCCAGATGCTGCACACTCAAAAATAGTTGAAATCTTGTAAACAATGCTGAAGTTTTCTTTTTTTCATGATGTTTGTATCTCGAGAAAGAAGCAGTCTCTTGAGCTGAAGTTTTCAGAATCTTTTATTGGTAAATGGAGTTTCTTGCAGAGGAAAGGAATTCATCTTCAAATACTTATGTTTGGAACTCGGAAAATATGTGTTACAAAATCAACAAATAGTCGATACCAGTGTTTAATGACTCACTTTTCATTGTTGCTAGGAAAACTCTAAAACGTATTTCATAATCCTTCTTTTGTTCAAGGAAGTGATTTGTATTGAAAAGAAAAAAGTGCATGTAAATTTTAGTCATAAAGTTAAAAAATTTAATGTACTTTTAGAAACCCTATGTGAATTTGTTTTCTTCATCTTCTTAATCTGTCCAGCTGGTAAGATTTGTCCATTGAGTATCACTTTCTTGCTCTACCTTTTCAAATCTCCTATGTGGATACCAAAAAGTGCTTGCCCGGAAACTTTTCTGAGCAGGGGCGGCGGAACGTTTTGAAATTGGGTGAGGCTCAATGGAAGTTTATTTGCTATCCTAAAATGACATATCACATATCAACATGAGGTAATCTGAGCGAATTTCAGATGATAAATCATTTCAGAATATTTAATTGTTTTGCTGTCAGAAAGTTATTGTGCTAACTTATTCTGTTCTTTACTGGTAGAGTTTCTAAATCTTTATAGAAGGACGAAAATTCCAAAAAATACAAGAACTATGTATTTCATATTAAAACATTAAACAAAAAAAAGCTTGTCTTTTTTGTTTGACGATATAAATATGGACACTATTTAATGGATTAACAAGAGGCATAGTTTGAGATACAGAAGATGCTTCACGAGCTTCGTCTCGAGGACTTGTTGCAAGATCAGTTAAATCAGTTAAAGCAATTTCTTCTATACACACAGATGTTATTGCACCTTTTACTTTCTTAATAAAATATTCCAAAATCAATCTGTACATCGTTTTCATGCCCCTACTGTTTATAATCTAAATTATTGATTTTATGACTATGATCAAAAGAAAGTACTGTTTACCTGTTTGATTTTCATGTAAACATGAAATCACACTTTCCTTAGCAAGACTAAGATAATAATCTTCTAACGCACTAGTTAAATGATAATGCCAAGGCATTCAAAAATAAAAGAGCTACACATTCAGATAAGTATGCAAATAAACTCGTTTGACACTGTATTTTAGTTGGTATATTTGCTGACATTTTTAACAATTACTATGAATATATTTCACTGAATACGTTAAAGAGAATGACAGGACACTCAAATATAGCTAGTTTTGATGTCTTTTGATCGCAAAATTCTACAGTTGGCCTACTACACATATCACTTTATGTAAATGAGATAGAAGGTATCGCTGTAAACCATAAAAACATAGTTAGTGAGTTTATTATTGTCTGAATTTCTTAGTTTTCTTTATCAAAACATATAAATAAACGTATTAGAAGTTCGATTCTTCGAACTGAAATAATATTCAACTGATAAGATAAGTCTAAACCATCGTGCAAAAAAATATCGAATTCATAATTTGGGCAAGGCTGAGCCTACAGACGCCAAATTTGGGTAAGACTCATGCCTCACCCAGCCTCTAGGTTCCGCCGCCTATGTTTCTGAGTTGTTTCATAGTGCACACATTTAAATTAAGAAGAATAATGTTTATTTTCAACGAACCTGATGGACAAAAATATGGTCTACCACCTCTATTTAGTGACCGTTTCCAATATTCTCCTTTTTCGGGATCTTCAGGAGACCAAAGATATTTACGATTCCATGCAGGATCCATAAGTTTATGATCAATTGATAATCCAAAATCACCGAGAGTTATCGACTCGACTTGTCCATTGTAACTTGAACAACTTTGACGTACTGCTTCAATACGTGCTGCAGAATCCCGAGCATTTCCATTCAATCCTTCAATAACATTCTTGCCATATGGTGGCATTACATATCCAATCACAATTACAGATCCTGATTCTACTCTAGTGATACGTATGTTTCCATCAGGAATAAGAAGAGCTTTGCATAAAGAAGAGCTGAAATCTTGTACTAAATTTGAGTTTTGTGACCATTCATCTAGATTCGCTCCTTCCAAATGAATGGAAACTGGCAACTTTTCCACTGTTTGTTTTCAAGCAAACAAAAATATAATGAATAATAAGTTCAACAATGAAACGATATCATTAAATAACACGGGAAATCTCTCAATAGAACTTGTCGAGTTCTGCGCAAGAATACGCATGTTACGAATTTTTCAAGCGATACTTCACTAATGATTTTAAAAAGAAACCTATAAAATTATGAATATTCAAATGGCATTAAGCCACTATCCAGTAGAATAAATACCTATAACGAATTAGAATCAGTGTTACTTGCTCTAAGAGAAAGAAAATGGAATGACAAAATCAATTCGAATTGCTGGGATATAGACACATGCTTGATGGGTATATAAAAGAATGAGAAAAACAACTGAATTAACAAAAACAATCTGGCGATGATTTGGAACTTTATAAGATAAGCTGGAAAGAGATCAGTAACTCAACAAAATAATTAATAGAAATAGGTTCATAAGAGGATAGACAATATTGAATGGGTATTTAAGATCTCTGGATTTCATGTTCTTGAGTAGTAGGAGTAGTATGTGATTGATCTTGCAGTCAGATATCTCGGTGTCAGACTAATTTCAATTTTCAATACAAAATGTGCATGGAAGAATGAAAAAAGAAAACGAAAGGTGAATTATGAAATTCCTCGGAAATTTAGTTGCGCCACTCACAGCTGATCTTAGAAATGTCCATTTTGACCAATAGTTTCATTATTTATGCGATTTGATAAAATTCGTGAAAGAAAAATTAACTTGGCCCATGCACGTACTGTGTTTTGTTCAGGAAGGACACTTCAATTTGTCTAAAATGTCTTTTTTCTCTTCCTTTTTAAATAATTAGGTTTTTTTTATTATGATAAAGATGTTTCGAGGTCAACTGCTTCCTTCTTCAGTTTATTTAGATGTAGAATAAAAAGAATTTCTTATTCTATTTTTAGTATCCAATCCTGCCTATTTATGTCTATATTCTTCTTTTCAATGATGGGACGGATGACGAAAACATATAAACCTTTCGTCCAGTATTACCGTCTTGTCCATCCATTCCACTAGCGAAAAGAAAAACATACATACAAAAAAGGCAGGATTGAACACTAAAAATAGAACAATAAATTCTTTTTATTTTACATCTAAATAAACTGAAGAAGGAAGTAGTTGATCTCCGAAACGTCTTTATCATAATGAAAATATCTAATTAATTAAAAAGGAAGAGAAAAAAACAATACTAAACCAGTTCACCTACTTTTTCAGTAGATTAAATAGTTTTTATCTTATAAGGCGGTATTGAGTAGGTAACATTTCATTCTCATTTTGACCGATGTCTCAATGATCATGTGAATTCTATCCCAAATATGGATTTTCTCCGTATTTGTTTTTTGATATAGCTAAATTTAGAAACAAATCAACATACCACTTGGTTCTCTGATATCTCCCGTAATGATGGGAATATGTCCTTTCTCCTTTTGATTATCCACTGTCGCTTTCAATTTTTCATCGAATTGATTAGTATTTGTTGATCCAATAGCTAATCGTCGTAGAAGAGCCGCTAAAGCTAATTTCTTAGCGTCTTGAGCTATGCGTTGTCGATTGAATTCAGCCTTCACTTCTCGCCGTGCTTTTTCATCTATATACGACATAAACATAGATTCCAATATAAGGTAGATGTAACACATCTTTGTCACATTATCTCATATTTTAATTCTTTCCATATCAACCGATAGAACTTTTCGGAGGTGATAGTTTTTAATTTTTTTCGATGCAAGTCTTTATAGCAATCATTCTGACCGACTGTTGTTTTCTCTTTTAAACAATTCGCTTAATTGAATAAGTAAGGTTTGGTACCTTATTGAAAGCTTGAAACTATTCATTTCTTACAAAACATAAGTGACATTAACTGACAGAAAACAAAATTCTTCAGATATCCGTTTCCTATTGAAATCTAATCACTCTAACTCTAAAAATCAGTCGTTTAATGTATCAATACTTCTTTATATTTTTTTGATGAAAATGAAACCAGTCATGACATTATGACTCAGAATGAAAAGTTCAGTACAGACGTATTTATTTCATACACTTTTTTTTTATCAAAAATTTAATCTTGACCTTTCTCGAGAGTCAGTAAAATCGATCGTTTTAAAATGTTATTTCAATCCTCCTGAGAGTCAATTTCAAAAATGATAATAACGGATGTGTCTGGCTTGATAGACCTCTCGATATTTTTCCAATGAATTTTTTGATTTTTATCGAATCAAGCTGATTCTTTTTTGTTTAAAAAAAACTCTTCATCTGAATATCCTTACAAAACTGCTCTTTTAATCATCATAAATAGCTTCTATTATTTTAAGAAAATTAATGCAAACGATTAACTCAACTTGTCAACTTTCAATGGCAACTGATTCACGGATATTTTTAATCATTAAATCAGTCTTTCATTGCCTATGACTATGTTTCAATGAACAGCGTCGTTAAGCTCATACAAATCGAATACTCAAAAGGATTTAAATCCAGAATTTTCGAACGCCAATGATTCTTGTCAATAAACGCTGTAATACTATCTCGGTATCATTGTTGTGTTAAATGATGCGAGTGTGATCTTTTATTATTCTGCTGGAGGATCCAGTAGTTACCGAAAACTTTATTCTTACATTTTAAGACTATGTGAAGTACTTTTTCGATAGAACAATTATGATGGTAAGTCTCTTTATCCAAGATCGCCTAGGGTATTGGATCTCCCCTCAACTCATACTCACATTCACATTGATGTAGTACACCAACAGAGAAAGAGAAGCTTAGAGTATTAAGTTAATCAATATCAATGCACTGTTTACGCCATTTCCTTATAAAAAAGAACATAAACATGGCCTTTCGCTTCGTACCAATAGAGAGAGGCAACATTTCTCTAACGATTTGTGTTTTCATTTTTATCAAAAATGTGTTTAAACAGAGAATACCCAGTGAAAAATATTCCGAAGAAAATCCAGATTATTTTTGATTAGCGACGGATAAATCCGATTTTTCAAACAAAACTTCTATCTTTTCTACAAGAATCCGATTAAAATCGATTAAAATTCTATAATCGATTGTAAAAT